TTCTGAGAGAAAGCCTGCCCCTTCTCGCTTCCCCTTCCGGGCTCGTCGCCCGAATTCGTCGCCAATCGGGCTTGGGCCACCTTTGTCGCCAAGCAGTGTGCGGTTTCGCCAAGGGCCTATCCCCGATTTATCCGCGATGTAGCGCCAATTCCAAGCCATTGTCCCCCCCCTGACTCAATCCTCCCTTATCTTTCCTCCTCAGCAGAGGGCGCCCTTCGGGGGACCATGAGATCTGGGCGTCGCAAGTGGTTCCACCTGGGCGGTTTCGCCCAGTTTCCACCGATAGATCGGGCCCGAAAGATGTCGACTCGACGACGACGACGGCGACGACAACGACGATGGCAACGGCGATGGCGATGGCGATGACGGTGACGAGCAAGACGACCACCACCAACGGCCTGCTGACGGTGGACGACGACGGGAGGCCGATGAAGGACGGACGACGGTCGACGGCGACGGCGACGGATTACGGCTCACGGGCGAGTGGAGGACGGACGATGGCGACGTCGACGTGGCGGCTCCCGCGAGGGTGGTGGGCGCGCGAGGGGGGCAGCGCCTTCTGAGCAGGCGGCCCGCACCTCAGAAAGGGGGAGGGAGGAGGAGGAGGAGGAGGAGGAGGAGGAGGAGGAGGAGGAGGAGGAGGAGGAGGAGGAGGAGGAGGAGGAGGAGGAGGAGGATGAGGAAGGAGGAGGAGGAGGAGGAGGAGGAGAGCGCCGCACAAGATCCCCGGGGCCTCCCAGCCTCTGCGAGGGCTCCTTGGCAGCCGTGGGGGGGGAGGGGGGGACAGAGGAGAAGCAGGTGCAGTGGAGGCCCAGGCCAAGAAACACCCTGCTTGCCTCCAGGGTGCCCTGGGTCTCTTGCGTTTCGGCTGTTTTGCGATAGACGGCGCGGCGTTCCCGCACCTGAACTCAAGGGACGTCCTGGGGTCTCAGGGTTGGGTTTCTCGTGGAAGGTTGGTTGTGGTCGGGCCCCCACTGTACCCATACCGCCACCCTCCCCTCGTTTTCGCCTTTTGGGGCCTCGTGGGGGACCCTCGTCGCCACCGCTGGATCCGGGGAGTAGCGGTATCGGTACCTTTTGTTTTCCCCAGGGGGGGGGGGTCACAAGAAACCGGGAGCCTCGAGACTGGGGTCGGTGCAAACGGGGGTTCAGCCAGAACGCCGGATGTTGCAGGACCCTGAAGGGCCAGGGCTGCACTGCCCCGGCCCAGCGCGCAGGATCCTGCAGGATCCTGCAGAGCCCGACTGACCCGGGTTTGGATGGACACGGGCCGGTCGATCCCAAAAGAGGCCCCCCCTGCCTCTTCCGAGGCCCCCCGCACCTTCTCCAGAGGCCGCTCCCCTCGCGGCGCCCCCGTGGCCTCGCCGCCGCCAGTCGACGTCGAGGCACGTCGGCGGGGGGGCGACGACGGCCCCTGGCGACCGCAGGATGCCCCCGGCGCAGCGGACGCCGAGATGGACGCCGAGGCCGAGGAGTGCGCGGGCCTGCCTGTCGAGGACGGCGCCGCCGCGACGGCGACGGCGACACGGCGGCGACTGCAGCAACGGCGACGACGGCGGCCGCGACGGCGGCAAGGGCGGCCGCGAGGGCGCCGACGGCGGCCACGACGGCGGCGACGGTGGCCACGGCGGCCGCGCCTGGCGAGGGCAACCACGACCACTCAGCATGAAGGCGACGGGTCTTGGGGGACACGGGTCCCGAAGGCAGTTCGAGCTCTTGGAACCCTCTTTGGGCCTAGGAAAATTGTTGAGCACGAAAATCCACTCCTGGGGGGAAGGCGGAGGGGGAATAGGTATCCATACCCTTGGATCTTCTCAAAGCTATCGGGCCAGTTGTTCCCCGAGTCGGTTTGGAAAACCTTCGGGGAACGCGTGGGGGAGCAATGGGAGGAGGATCGGGACAGGGAGGATGATGATGATTAGGAGAATGATATGGATGAATATGAGGATGATGGGGAGGGGGAGGAGGAAGAGGAGGAAGAGGAGGAGACTTCTTGGGAACCGTTTTGCGAGGCCTCAGCGGGACTTCCTGGGAGCCTTTTGGAGGTCTCTTGGGAGCATCCCTGGGCATCTTGGGAGCTTCTTGGGGGCCTTTGGGGGCTTCTTGGGGGCCTTTTTGTTCGTCTTAGGGCGTTCCCGACCGGTCTGTCACCGTTGGAAGCCGTCTTTGGGGCCTCTCTGAACCGACTTGGGGCTCTCTTGGGGCGCCCCAGGGCCGTCTTGGAGAGTATCTTGGATGTTTTGGAGGTCGCCGGCTTGGGGGCCTCTCGGGCCGTAATGCGGCCATCTTGGAGGCCTCTTGGGCGATAGTGGGGCGACCTTGGGGGCCTCTTGGGCCGTCTTGGGCCGACCGAGGGCCGACAAGGCGCAAATGCCAAAATCTGTCGAACACCTGAGGCAAATCAATGGTTTGGGCCTCGTCGGGCCTTCCTGGAAGCCTCTTAGGGGCCTCTTGGGCCGTCTAGGGCCATCTTGAGGCCATCTTGGGCCGTCTTGGATGCATCTTGGGCCGTCTTGAAGGCATCTTGGGGCCATTTTAGCCGTCTTGGAGGTCATCTTGGGCCAGAGCGCCCGATCTTGCAGGATCCTGCATGGCCAGGGTCGCATTGACCTGGTTGTGGCGCAGGATACTGCAGGATCCTTTGCATTGACATGGTTTGGGTGCAGGATCTTGCAGGGTTCTGCGAGGCCTGGCAGACCCAGGTTTGGATTGACCCGGGTCAGAAGATCCCCGAAACTTCGGCGGCTTCGGATGCCGATTCGATTCGGCCTTGGATGCCGATTGGGGCTTAAGTCGGGCCTGTCCCTCTACAGGAGGAATATATTCCAAAAGAATCAAACGATTATCTGGGGACGGTGTTTTAAAGTATTGTTCGACAATGTTTGTATATGTTTTGGGAATTTCAATGTTTCGCCCAGAATCCGGCTGTAGGGGGACATGCCCGACCTAAATTTGCGCTCCGAGTTTTCATTGGAGGCATACTATGGCCTGCCGATGTCCGCCGATTCGACGCTTCTTGACTTGGCTGCCGATTTCTGCCGATCCGACCCGTTTTTTCGATCGCCGATCCGACATATCGCTTCAATCCTGGGCTCCCCTGCAGGGGGCGGCGGTCCGTAGCCACTTGGGCTCAAGACGAGCCGCAAGGCTGAAGGCTGTGCCAGCTGGCGCCCGCAGCTTCCGTTCGTGTGCGAAATTCTGAGGCCGGGCCCGTTCTCGGCGATGACGTCGCAGCTGAAGGCCCTGCTGATCGTGTCTTCGGCCGTGCTCGGGCAGAGCAGCCGGGTGGACATCACGCTGCATAGCTGGTTGGACTCGAGGACGCCGTCGCAGAGGCCAGCAATTCGAGTTCCCAGGGCACCTACACGTGCGAGTGCGACGGCAAGCAGGTGATGAAGATGGGGCACATGGCAGCGGTAGCGCTGGGCGCCTTCCCGTGCCTGCAGAAGTGCGGCGAGATGGGTGCCCAGACCTACTGCGTCTACGTCTCCTCGCGCCACGGCGGGAGGACGTGCCACCCCGTACCGCCCAAGGAGAAGTTCTGCGTAAAGACGAGGTACGAGCAGGGTGTGCTCTCCTTCGGCCAGTGCACGGAAGCCTTCGACGTCACGGAAGAGGTGGTCGCGTACAAGAGCGACCTCGTCGGGGCGCACTTTGCCCGCGAGGCCGCGCGCAAGTGCAGCGGGTGGTGCACCGAGACGCAGGACATCGACGCGGGCGCATGCCCCTGATCGGGCACGCAGCGTCGGGTATCGGGATGGTGCGGCGCCTGGCCTCGATACCCCGGCCATGCAAACACGGAACAAAATCACAACAGCAGCAATAGCAGCAACAACAACAATAACAACAACAGCAGCAGCAGCAACAACAACAGCAGCAGCAGCAGCAACAACAACAACAGCAGCAGCAGCAACAACAACAAAAGAAGCGGCCAGGGGGCGGCGGCGGAGAGCGGACGGGGAGGGTCCGTGTCCGCGGCCTTGAGGGCCTGAGCGGAGGACCGTTCTCTGCCCCTCGCTGCGGGCAATAGGTATATCCACATCCAGTGAGTCTTGGAGTTTTGGGCTCCCTTCCCAAACAGTCCAAGACGCTCTGGATATGGATAGAAGTATTGCCCGCACCTCGCCTCCGCTCCCCGCGGTCTGGTCAGGCTCGGCGGCGCACGAGATCCTGGCCCTCGGAGGCCCCCAGGGCCCCGACGCCCGCAGAGGCCTCCAGTGGCGCATGGAGGCCCCGTAGGATGTTACGAGATGCGCCACGGAGTGTGGCAGCAACTAGTCCCTAGAGTCGAGGACGGAGCTCGGCACCCCTCCGTCGTCCTCTCCTCCGACCACAATCCACTCAGCAACGGTCCGGCTTTCCATCACAGATCCATTCATCCGGTCCGTCCCTGGAGCCCAACACGTGTCTTTGCAGAGCGGAATCGAAGAACACCTGTGGCGCAATGTGTTGGATCTTCCTCCTCCTCCTCCTTCATTCTCCTCCTGGAGGCCCCCAGAGATCATGCTTCCAGGGCCACGAGTTACACTATCACAGCTTTGTTTCTATGTTGGGGCATGGCTCGCCGTTAGCAGGCGCCCCTTGCAGACCAATGCCTTAACACGATGGCCGAATATGAAACGACATTGTGACCGAACGTCGCGCAGCGACGGTGTTATGCAAAATGATGGCCTATCATATTATTCCACCTCTCGAATGCCCAACGCACTGGCTTGTGGTGCCAAACGCCACCAATCTTGAAACACGTCCATGCGCCCCTCAGTCTAGGTCATGGTGTCTTCTGCCTGCGGCCGCCCGCGGGCGTCGCCCGCTTTTGGCCCTGGGTCGGCGTCTACACTTGGCATCGCTCGGACGTGTGCATTTTTTCTCGGCGAGAACCATCGAGGACCATCCTGGACCATCGAGCAAACAAAAACACGCACAATGCCGACAAATGCACGGGAAATGGACGTCCGAGCGACGGCAAGTACAGTGGGTGTTGTCACGCTGGGGTGTGGTTTGCGATCGGCGCCGTCGTGGCTCGGGAGGCCACCGCGCTGCGCCAAGAGGTCTGAAAAGCCCTGTCGAGGCCCTCGCTCTCCCGCGAGCGAGGGGCAAGGGCGCCCCCGCGGGCGCGGAGCTGCTCGCGTCTCGCGCTCCTCCCGTTGGGCGCGAAGGTCGACGAAACGTAAGAGTGACCTTTCGCCAGAGTGACCTCTGCTGCGGGCACAAACTGGTCCCCAGATCGCCGAACGCGATGCAGCAGCAGCGTCCTGCGCGCTTGTGCTTGGTCCCCCAGCGGCCCCCCCAAAGCCGCGCACCAAAGGTTTCAGCTCGCTGAGGGGCAGCGAACGCGATCTGTGTTTCTGGGGCGACGGAGGAGGAGGCAATGCCCGTAGGGCAAGAGCAAGCGTAAGCAGCCCAATCGTCAGTAAGAGCAAACCTAAGGTCCGAATTTGTCGCGCATGGGTGTCGTAAGGATTGTTACTGACGGATCAAGCGCGCCGGCGGAGCGCATTGGGATCTGGCCCTGGAAACCACGCTGCCCCCCAAGCGACCTCCAAACCACAGGTCACTCTTACCCAGGGTCACTCTTGCGTGTAGCCGAGAAGGGATTCGCGCTCCGCGCAGAGCGCGAAGTCGGGCGCCCCTGCCCCAGGCGCGGGTCGCAAGTTGTATGCCCTCCGGAGTCGTGGGCTGGGGCGCCCCCGCAGCGGCGGACCTGGTGTGGAGTCGGGCATGATTCTTAGATTTTCTCACAAAATCCGCCTGTAGGAGGACATGCACGACCTGAGCCTAGCGGCGGGCAGGCGGTTCGCCGTCCAAAAAAAAACAGCGGCCGCCCCCGCCGTCCGACGCAGAGGAGCGCGCGCGCGGCAGATCGAGGCGCCCCTCCTCGGGGGTCGAGCGGAACGAGGCCTCTCTATTCGGGACAGGCCTTTCGGTTACAGATCGAAGCAGGAATTTCGACACGCCATGGCCGCTCTCAACACTGCTGCTGCCTCCGCTGTGGCTGCTTGCCCCTGGGCCCGGGATCTCTTCCATTTCGACATCTCAGTCGCGGCGTTCCAAGAGATTAGGAAGGATCTTCGCCCTGACGACCCTCTGCTCTGACAGCACGCCTGCGTCTGGACAACAGAGATCGCCCCCCCTCTCTTTTATCCGCTGCTGCGGGGTGCACCGTATTGATACTGGAGCCCAACGTTGAGCAAGCGGCGCTCAAAGTGCGCACCGCTCTGACCGTGCCAGGTTTGCTGTGGTTCGCAAGGCCTGGGCACGGGGGTGGCAGCCCTGACGTAGCCTTCCTTGCCACTGTCGGGAAACGACAGAGCAGCAGCGGGGGGGCCACGCGAGACAGAAGCTAAGTGCACCAGAGGGGAAACCGTGTCGCACTGCTCGTTTCTCCTTCGCTGGAGGTCCCCGCGTGTCCCGGGAGGACGCCGAAAGGGCACCCAAAGATCGAGCGCAGCCTCGGAAGGTTCCGGGAGGCCTTTGAGCCTTCAACAAATGTTCGAACCTGCTTTCTCGAACTTGTTCTTTCTGCTCCTCCACCCTCTCCTTCCTCTCTCGATCTCTCCCCCTCACCCTCCTCATCCTCCTCCTCCTCCTCTTTCTCCTCCTCCTCCTCCTCCTCCTCCTCCTCCTCCTCCTCCTCCTCCTCCTCCTCCTCCCCATCGTTGTCCTCCCTCCCCCTGGTTCTTTCATCGTTCCCTCCCCCTCCGCGACTCCCCAACTCCATTTCATCCAGGGAGGGAGGGAGGGTTCTTGGGGTGAGTGTTTTCAGTAAGACGGCGAGCAGACTGCTGCAAAGCACCGTCCGACCAAGTCCCTCCTCAGAGGCAATTGTTGGAGGGTTGATCGGTTGAGGGGGGGATGCGTTGACCCAATGATCGCCGATAAGGGGCCCGATAGCCCCTGCCCATGAACATTCGGATGTGCTATCGGGGGCGTATCGCCGATCTATCGGTGATGTATCGCCGATTCCAAATCGACGCGTCCCCCCCTGAGCTGGTTCCCTCGTTGCCCCTCATCTCCCCCGTTCTTCCTCCTCCTCCTCCTCCTCCTCCTCCTCCTCCTCCTCTTCCTCCTCCCCCTCCTCTTCTCCTCCCCCTCCTCTTCTCCTCCTCGTCGTTGTCTTCCTCCTCGTCCTCCTCCCCCTCCTCCTCCCCCTCCTCCTCCTCCCCTCCTCCTCCTCCTCCTCCTCCCCCTCCTCCTCCTCCTCCTCCTCCTCCTCCTCCTCCTCCTCCTCCTCCTCCTCCTCCTCCTCCTCCTCCTCCTCCTCCTCCTCCTCCTCCTCCTCCTCCTCCTCCTCCTCCTCCCCCTCGTCCTCCTCCTCCCTGCGTAGCCGCAGGACGTGCTCGCTAAGCTGGGAGCCGGGCTGGCCGCGGAGGGGGCCGAGGACGACGCGGAGGCGGCGGCGCCCCGGTGCGCCTCCTCTCCGTTCGCCTCCTGCGCTCCCTGGCGGAGGCTTGCCCCTCTCGCGGGGACATGGCCCGGCGCTGTCTGCGGTCGGGAAGCTGGCTCAGCGCGTTGCCCTCTGCAGGTGCCGGTCGGCCCACCGCGCATCTGCGCGAGACGCGGGCCACTCCTGGGTCCCCGGGCGTCAGCATCCCGAGCTGTCCCAAGCCTTCTGCCTGGCAGAGCGGAGCGACCCGCTGTCCTCAAGTCCGGCCTGCCGTTCGACAGGGGGAGCATTCAAGAACAGCCAAACAATAGTATGGGGACGATGTTTCTGCTATGCTCGACGATATTGGAGTTCTGAGTACTGAAAGTTCTTCATCCGAGATCCGTCTGTAGGAGGACATGCCCGACCTAACGCTATCCACTTGCAGGGCATACAGTGACGCCGGGGCCGCCGCCGCGACACGCCAGGCAGAAGTTCCCGACCGTAGGGGGGCCGGCATCCCGGCGTGGAGCGCCGGTGCGGGCCTCCTTGTGTCGCGCTAGTTGTGTCTGGCGTAGCGCGCTACACATGCTTTTTGTTTTGTTTTAGCTGGCTTGGCCTTGCCTCTCCTCCCTCCTCCTCTACTCCCTTTCCCACCCTGGGAGAGGATGGGGGGTGGGAGGGAGGGGAGAGGTGGAAGAGGAAGGGGAGGATGGAAAGGCATGTGTCGGGGAAGCGTAAGACTCGAGTACGCTGGAACTCGGGTCAGCCGACGCGTTTTGACGGGCGCGTCCTGGGTTTTGACGGTCCAGTTTGCGTGCGATGTTTGCAGTGGGAGGTCGCGTCGAAATTCGGATTCGGTCTCGGCATCTTCACAATGGCCCCATCAGGCCAACCCGAGAACCCCGAACCCGAGCCTTACGTCTCCCCAGATCTGGCGAGGAGGGGTGCGTGCCGCTCTGTCTTGCGAACCGTACGCATCAAGGGAGCCTCCTCTTTCCTCCGCTCCGACCTTCATCCTCATACCCTTCCTGCTCGTCCGTCCTCCCGTCCAAATCGTGGCCCCTGTTTTCGTCTCCTTCCTTGCCGTTCCTTGGGCGGGATGCGCGAGGAGGAAGAGAAGGAAAACAGACGAAATAAGAGTAGGTGGAAGAGAGGGGGGAGAAGGAGGAGGAGGAGGAGGAGGAGGAGGAGGAGGAGGAGGCGGAGGAGGAGGAGGAGGAGCAGGAGGAGGAGGAGGAGGAGGAGGAGGAGGAGGAGGGGGAGGAGGAGGAGCAGGAGGAGGAGGAGCAGGAAGAGGAAGAGGAAGAGGAGGAGGCCGAGCGCAAGGAGCAGGCATGATCCCAGCGCCCCGCCCGCGCGCGGGAGCGCCGGAGCCTCAGGCCGACGCGGGCGCGGCCAGCGAAGGCGGGCGGCGGCGTGCGGCGGCGCAGAGCGCTGGGGGCGGGGGGGGCGCCGCTGAAGGGAGCCGGAGGGAAGAGCAGCGATGCACCACCGGCAGGGGTGCGGAGGTCCACGATGTGTCCACAAGCGGGGTGTCAGTTTTCTTGTTGCCTGTCGCCTCGGGGTGGTTCCTAAGCCGTGGGCGCTTCGCTGGCCGGCAGCTGGCCCCCTGGCTCCGCCAGGGGCCGCTGCACACGCCGACGCGGCGCCACCGCGTGGTGGTGGTGGTGGTGGTGGTGTTGCGTCTCCCTGGTCCCTAGAGAGGAGCCATGAGGGAAACGGGTCCTGAAGTTTCTTTCCCGTGTTTGCCCTCCCGGGGCTTTGGTCAGGCCTCGGGGCTTTCAAACGACACGGGTTTGGATGAATGCCTCGTCCTACGGTTGCGAGGCTATGTTTAGCGTGTGCGTCGGATGTAAATCTTATACACGCTAAGCGCTTGTGCGCTTAGCGTGTAAATCAAGCTTAGCGTGTAACGGGCCTCCGCTTAGCGTGTACCCAGTTCGATCTGGTATCTTCGCAGGGCCCATGCTGCAATATTACGCTTAGCGTGTATAAGAAGAGATCCTCCCCTGGTCCCCGCCCATCCGCCCTGCTCCCCCTCCTCCTTCCCTCCCTGTACGTCGGACGACGCCCAGTCGGCGGGACCCCCTTCGCCGCCGCGGCTGGACGCGGCTCGGCAGACTGGTGCGTTGAAATCGCTCGCGGGATCTTCGAGTCTTCGGAAATGGGGCTCTCGCCTGAGACATCCTCGAAAAATGGAAAGTTGACAAGCTGTTTGAAGACCTCTCATGCTGAAAATGAGCATTTCACCTGAGACATCTTCAGACAATGGAGACATTGAAATCGCTGGCGAAACCTTCGGATCTTCGTGCCCCACAGCCCATAGCTCACGGGGCCCAAAGGTCATAGCCCACTTAGCGTGTACGTGGCCGCCCCGCCCCCGGCCCTTTTTGGCGCACCCCTCACACGATTCGTGGCCGCCCCGCCCATGTCGGCGCACCCGCCCAGGAGGGAGGAGGAGGGAGGAAGGAGGAGGAGGATGGAGGGGACGTTTTTCAAATAGAGCTTAGCGTGTATAGAAGTCGCCCTCCCAAAGTAGGGCTCTCGCCTTGGCGCCGCCGCTGATACCGCTTAGCGTGTATCATGTTTGGTCCGGGTGTCGTCCCAACATCAAGCGCTTAGCGTGTGTAGAATTCGCCCTCCCACAAACGCTGGGTCCCGGGTCTGGCCCCGCAAAAACGCTTAGCGTGTCACCAGCCACGCGCAGAGGTCCAAAAGCTAACGGGGTACACGCTAACCATAGCCTCGCAACCGTGAGGAGAAATGCTTCGGGACCCAGGGAGCAGGGGGATAGAAGGAGGGGTGGACTTCCCATCAGAGAGTGGCCAATGGAGACATCCGCCTCGCTCCTCCTCCTGCTCATCCCCTGCTCCCGCTCCTCCTCGATGCAGCATGAAGGCGGGAAAACGGTCCGTCCCCGCCCATGGCCGCCGCGCCGAGGGCGGCCGGTGCCCTTCTGATCGGCACTCCCCGTGCGACCTCGGCGGGGCGCAGTGCCCGCAGCGGGCGCACGCCTCAGGCCTGACCAGAAGGACAGAGCGACTTGTGCACCCCCTCCAGCCCTTATAATTACCCGCCGTGCGGAGTGGCCCGGCCCAGGAGTGCCAGACTCGGTCAACCTGGAGCATGGCTGGGGACCTCGTCCTCCTCCTCCTCCTCCTCCTCCTCCTCCTCCTCCTTCTCCTCCTCCTCCTCCTCCTCCTCCTCCTCCTCCTCCTCCTCCCTCCTCCTCCTCCTCCTCCTCCTCCTCCTCCTCCTCCCTCCTCCCCTCCTCCTCCTCCTCCTCCTCCTCCTCCTCCTCTCCTCCTCCTCCTCCTCCTCCTCCTCCTCCTCCTCCTCCTCCTCCTCCTCTCCTCTCTCCTGCCTCTCCGCCTCCTCCTCTTCCTCCTCCTCCTCCTCCTTTCTCCTCCTCCTCCTCCTCCTCCTCCTCCTCCTCCTCCTCCTCCTCCTCCTCCTCCTCCTCCCCCTCCCTCCTCCTCCTCCTCCTCCTCCTCCTCCTCCTCCTCCTCCTCCTCCTCCTCCTCCTCCCCCTCCTCCTCCTCTCTCCTTCCCCTCGTCCCTCCTCCGCCCCGCCCTTCGCACTCGGGAGGGTCGCCGATGACTCAGCTGGCCTCGTGTAAGGAGCGGGGGGGAGGGCAATGGAGGATTGGGGATGAGGGATGGAGGATTAATGGGCAGGACGGGTGACAGAGGACCCAGACCTCCTCGAGTCATGCAAAATCGCAACGGAAGGTTTTCTTTATTTTCAGTCTCTGGGGGCCCTCACCAGGCCTCGGGACTGCCAAACAACGACTCAGGGTGAAAAGCCAGTCTCAGGCAATGGGTCGAGACCTCGGGGGGGTGCTTCTAGGGAAAAAACATGGCGTCGGGGGTCTGGGGAGGAGAGGAGGAGGAGGCGGAGGAGGAGGAAAAGGTGGAGGAGGAAAGCAGGAGCAGGAACAGGAGCAGGAGCAGGGGCAGGAGCAGGAGCAGGAGCAAGAGCATGCAATATACGGTCCGGATGTTTGGCTTAGCGTGTCGCTGCGCCAGTTCTGGCCCACCACGTTTCGGCGCGACAGGTTAACCACATCCCAGTCGCTAGACGTCAACGTTTCGATCCTTTCCCAGCCTCCCGCCCCGCGGACCCGAGCGACGCGCTATCCGCTCGCAGGGCATAGCGTGTCGCGGGGGCTGCCGCCGCGACAAGCGACGTACAAGTTCCAGACCGCAAGGAAGTGGCTGAAGGATGGAGCATGCAGAAGGAGGATGACGCAGAAGCGGAGGGAGAGGGGGTGTAGAAGGATGGAAGATCATGGAGGAGGTGGGGGTGAAACAAGCACGGATGATACAGGAGGAGGAGGAGGAGGAGGATGAGGAGGAGGAGGAGGAGGAGGAGGAGGAGGTGTAAGAGAAGAGGCATCTGTATCATGATGGAAGAGGGGCAGGGAAAGGGTATGGTTGGAGGAGGGCATGGTGCAGGATGTGGAGGACGCGGAGGAGAAAGGCCAGAGGATGAGTGGGTGGAGGAACGGTCGTGCATGCCTTTGCATCTCAACGCAGTCGGTGTGCCATACGTTGCGCTACGCACTCGGGTATTCACGCGTGCTGGTTCGACGCGCGCGGCATATGTCCTTGTGTGCCGTGTGCCTACATTCGCCTCAGGGGTGTGGCGTCCATCCCGAGCCCCAAATCAAAGCTCGCCCCAGTGCTGTGCCTCGGAGGAGGGCCAGTTTAGAGAAGGACGGCTCCCTCGCCAGGCCCAAATCCGTTCAACATCGGCCCCCAGACCTGTCTCGTTCAGGTGTCCGTCCTGACCCGCTCTTCGAGGCGCACCCAGCCGCGGCGACGAGAGTCACCAGGAGGCCCAGCAAGGACGAATTTGGCCAGGGAGGGCCGCCGTTGACTTCGCATCGTGGCCATCAATCAACCAATCCAGCATATGAATACTTTGCATCTGGAGCCACAGCATTTGTATGATGGTCTATCCATCTATCGATCTATCTATCGATCTATCTATCTATCTATCTATCTATCTATCTATCTATATATCTATATATCTATATATCTATCTATCTATTTATCTATCTATCTATCTATCTATCTATCTATCTATCTATCTATCTATATATCAGGTGTTCCAGAAATGGCCTCTCCTTCGAGGATCGAAGAAGCTGTCATCTATTCCGCGGCGGAAGGCGGCGAAAGGGTCGGCGGACGTAAAACGAGGCCGCCCTGCTGGCGGAAGCCGGCGGAAGCTCAGCGGGAGGCGGCGGGAGTAAACATGCGCCCCCAAGATATGAAAACGTTTTTGGGTCCAGGGTTTCCGAAATCGCCCATCTCTCTCGATATATGAATACATATATATATATATATATGTGTGTGTATGTATGCTGAGATTGTTTTTTGGTTGGTTGTACATGTCTTAAATTGAGGTCTAGCCTCCACCGACCCTCCTCCGAGTGTCATCCATCGGGTTGCCCTGCATGCAATTGTTTTTGTTTCCTCATTCTGGCCCAAACATTTCTGCGGCTTTCGGCGCCGAACGGCCGCGCGAGGCTCTGGTGCGGTCTCTGCGGCTTGCGGGCCTCCCAACGAACCAGAAACCATACTACCTCTCAGCAGCAAATGAAGCCCTGATGCCGAGGTGGCACGCCGAGCGGGAGTTTGCCCGAGCTGTTGCCCTCCTGTGGCTGATCGGGGAGGCGTCCGCACAGACTGGGCACCAGCATGGCCGCACTCTCGACTCGCGCGGTCCCGATCGCACCGCTTCTCTCGAGCCTGCCGACGTGAGCAAATTGTCCGACCCAGTTCCGCAGGTGAGGCATTACAAGGTGCCTGGGAGAGGCTACACCAAACATTCCCCTCTGTATGCCAAGCAAACCGTCTGGGGCGGTGCCGCGCCCCAGGCGCCAGAGAAGACCACTACCACCTGGAAGCCTCTGGAAGCTCGGCCATGGAAGGAGGATGCCATGGAGCGGTCGGACATTACAGAGCCTTCTCCAGTACTAGTGCAGCCAGCTTCGACCACGGTGCAGTGCATTACCAATCTGACCTGCCAGTTTTTCGCTGTCTACACGGTCCTGTTTCTGCTGCAGTCCTCGACGCGTCTGGGGCTCACGGCACTGCAGCGCGAGGAGAAATCATTCGGCCCAGTGGTGGAGACTGTACATTTTGTACCCATGCTGTGCGTGCTGTTCATGGCCACCCGGATGCGCGCCGTGCAGTTGACACACGGTGAGCCCGAGCAGTACGAGCTTCCGCAGTGGTGGGTGAAAGCTGCCATGCAGTCTTGTTCGTGGTGGATGCTGGCCTTGACGGTCATTGTGCTCCTTACGTCTTGCTTGCACGTGGAGGCCGTGGACTCCAAGGTCAAGAGACCGACAATCGGACCGACGATGCTGAGGTATCTTCGAGATTTCGTCATGATGATCGTCTACATAAGCTTCACTGTCGTCTGCGTTGGTGCGTGCACCATGCAGGCGCTTGTTCGAAAATCTGTGGATACGCCAGGAATGTTTGCTCAGCGTGTCGCGCGGATGTATCCTTCTTCGGTGCGACACGCTACGCACGTCCCAGTCCCTGAGCATCAACGTTCTGAGTTGTTCCTGGCCTCCCGTCCACTGAAACAGAGCGACACGTCATCAGCTCAAGGCGCAGCTTGTCGCAGTGGCCGCCGCCGCGACACGCGAAGCGAAGCTTCCTGACCGCATCCGCCACCTGCCCTGGCTGGGTCCACCCTGGGTCCTGGGCCGGTGAAGAGGACCCCGCAGGGGCCTGGGCCGAGAGAGCGAGGAACAGCAATCACACATGGGCTCCGTCTTCCATGCGAGAAACGGGGGCGCCCCGTTGCCAGAGCTCAGGCTGCGTTTTTCGGCCCTCGTGGCTCGTGGGGGGGGGGAGGTTTCCCCCGATCCGTGGATGTGCCAGGGGCAACGGTAGGGGGGGATAGGCACAGGGGTGGATGCACCGATCCTCAATCGCCCCTAGGGGCCCGGTAGCCCCCACCCCGCCCGTCTCCGAGAGTTGTTCCTCTCAGGTGGAGCGGCATGGGGGGATAGGCTCAGGAGGGAACGCATCGACCCCCAATCGCCCATTCATCGCCGAAAGGGCCCGATAGCCCATCCCGCGCAGGAGCCTCTCGGTTTCTGTATCGGGAGACTATCGCCGATCCATCGGCGGTGCACTGGCCATTGCCGATTGCACATTCGAGGTCGAATTGCACATTCGAGGTCGATTGAGCCAGTCTCCCTTGTCGCCGCCCCGCAGGATACGGCAAGGGGGTCAGGGGGGATGCGAAATTTGCTGCACGCAGCCGGTTTCGTCTTTGGCGAAGCTCGGGCTCCTCAATACATAGGCGCCGCCAGTGCCTGGAGGCGCTGGGACAACCAGCTACGCCACCCCCCCTGTAGTCCCCCCCCACCGCCCAATCTGTGGCCCAGGCCGCCCACATGAGGCCGAAGCAGATACCCACCGGTCGTTGAAAGCAGGCAATTTGGTGTGGGACTCCCAGATCCCAATTTGCTTCAAGCGCCTTCCGACGTCAAGAATCGGGATGCTTATGCTGTGTCCTGTTATGCTCTGTGAGGGCCCGAAGCCAATCTACTTTGTCCGCCTTCCTACTAACTGTTTCTACCTACTTCTTCACACCGACGTGTATGGCCATCGCGCCGCATCGCCGATTCTGCGCGATCTAAAGCTTTCTTGTCTCCGTCCCAGCGTCGCCTTGGCATCGGCGATGCATCGGCGATGCGGCGGCGATGCGGCGGGAGCCTCCGACCCCAGCCACGCCAGCCACCTTTGACAAAGTCGAGGCCGGGACTCGTCGTCGAGGAAGTTGAGTCAAGTGAAGGAAGAAAGTCAAGTCAATAATGGGCCTCGTTGTCAAGAAAGGGCCGCGTCGTCAAGAAAGAAGGTCACGTCAAGTTGATATATCTTCCTCGGTGAACGGCGGTGGAAGGGTGGCGGAGAGTGCAGACGCAAAGCGAGGCTGCCTCAACCGGCGGGAGCCGACGGTTGCCGGCGGAAGTATGAATCAGCTTCCCGAGAGATAGCAAGGTTTTTTGGGTTCAGGGTTTCTGTTGAACCCGCCATCTGTACAGCATCCATCCATACAGGTGTTCGAGCACGGCCCATGTGAGGCCGCAGCCATCCAGCTTTTCGTGCAGAGGGCTGCGGAATACCGCCGAGTGCCGACTGTACACGTGTCTAAGACTTGGATTTATCCGTACCCACCGCTTTGGGCTCCGATCTCCCAGGACCTCGGGAGGCAGCGATGACTATACTCTCGGGCCAGAGCGGGCTCGGAGATACCAGTATCCACTGACCCTTGGCCTCCGAGTATTTCCCACTTCCCTCCATTGGGCGGGGCTCCGCGTATACACCAAGTCGTCTGGTCTGCCGACGAGCTTTTTGTGTGGATTCCCGGGTCTGTCCCCGCCTGTGGGACGTTGGGGCGTCCGTACACCGAGCTCCTTCGCAGAGCTCCCAGTTCAGTTCCCTGGCGACCAAGCCACGCGTTACACGGCTGGCCCTTTGGTCAAGCACAGCCCTGGCTTTGGAAGGGGCACCCTCGTGCTCTCTGTGGTTGTGTCCTCCACCTTCCCAGGGATCCGACGCTCCGATAAAATTGGAGCGGCCGGCTTCTAGCCGTTTTCGTTCTCCAGGGGCCTTCGCTGGGCCTCGGGGCCGTCGAAAAGCGACTCAGGAAGAAAAGCAGGCCCCAGGGAAGTGGTCCAGACCTCCAGGGCCCACGCAGGGGACAAAAAGATTGGAGCGGCCGGATGTCTGGGTTCCAACGTTCTTCCCCCGTGGGGGGTATCTCCACGGGGGGCGTCGGGCGGAGGGGCCTGTGCTCTCCACCCGCGCTCTCCTGGCCATGCTTCGGCCGAGCCTGCTCCTCGGCGCCGCGGGCCGTGCACAACGGGGGCCCCCAGAGGGCTCACCGCCTGCCCCAGGTCGCTGCTGCTCACCCCGAGACTTTTTTTTTCCGGGGCGCAGCGGAGGTAATATACGGAGGCCGAACGTCGACTCCACAGGCGTTGGCCGAGTGGGCCCCGAGGATGCAGCCGGTGCACTGTGGACGTGTGCGAGCCGTCTGGTGCAGGGTGTGTGGTGTAGGCTCCTGGTTGCAGCGCACATGGTGCAAGCTAGATCTGGGCCTCCTAGATGGGGTCGAGTAGATGGGGTCGGAGGATCGCGCCGCATCGACGATGCATCGGCGATGCGGCTCGATGTGGAGCCCGATTTGCCTCACGTCGCCGTCGCCAATGCATCGCCCACGTCGGCGAAGCATCGCCGGTGCATCGCCGATGCGTTGCCGAGGCATCGCCGATGCATCGCCGATGCATCGCCGAGGCATCAGTGATGTGGCGAGATCTTCCGACCCCATCTACTCGGACCCCATCTAGGAGGCCTCTGATTCCCTTCGGAGTGCCTAGCAAGAACCCCCAAGTGCAGGCACTGCCTGTGGAGAAGCCACCGCCGTTTTTTCCATGCGTGGACCGTGGACGGGCTCCCCGGTAGCCGGGAAGGCGAAGATGATCGCATTTCGCCATGTGCGGCGCCGTGGCCCGAGCGCCGCCCTCCTCCCGGGCGGAGGCGCGAGGGCAGGGAGGTGACCGCGCGTCGCGCACTGAAGCGAGCGCGACTGCGTTCATTCGGGTGGCATGGACTTCACGGGTCGGCTCGGCGGCTGCGATGGGCAGCGGGGTGTGGTGTGCGATCTGCTCCGTCGGGGCTTTGGTGTCGTCACGTTGCGCCAAGAAGGTTCAGTGAGCCCCTCGTCGGGGCGCGGCAGCGATCTTTGTCCCCCCAAGCGCGCGGGTTGCCAACCACACCCTTGGCAACTCTGTCCCCCAATGCGCGGGTTGCAAACCACACCCTTGGCAAGCCGCACCCTCCGGGCTCGCCGATCGGCGCTGCCCACGGTCCGGGCGTGTACGTCGAGCCCCCCCATCAGACCCCGCGCAGGCGCCACCGGGGCTGGCGCCGCCTCCCGAGCGCGCGGCGCTCGCGTGCACGCTCTGCCTCACGTTCCTCTACTTCGGCGTCTTCCTGGCTCGCACCCGCCCCCGGGGGGCGGAGGGCGAAGTCTACTCGCGGCCCGTTGCGGGCCCTGGCCCTGCGGGTCTGGCTCGGCGCATGGGGCATCGGGCA